CCCAAAGCTTCACACAGCCCTAATATCAACCTGTATGTGCTGTACAGGTCTGTACACTCTTATTTACACTATGGTTTATAGCAGGAGCCCATCACCTTTTGCCACAGCAGGTTGCCACTTGTGACCCAGCTCCCTGTCATGAAGCACAAGCCTCTGGACCAGGAGCACCTAAGCCATCTATGCTTACTCTCACCACCAATCCCCCATCCACAATGGCAACAGGCAGGGGCATATTTTTCTATAATGGTAAGCGCAGGCATAAGAAAGAAGCAGGGAGAGCTATGGGGCGGAGAGGAACATTACTGAGGGGGATAGGAGGCATGGTACAGCTGCATGTCGCAGATTCTCTGCGTCAGATCAGCACGGCCATAGGCTGCCAACCCCTGGTTTATACTTACTTACTTTTTGACACTAAGATTAAATAATCTAAAAGGGGGAAAGGAAACATAATAGGTTACTGGATCATCCGCCCATATAAATCGTCTTACCAGTTGTTTGTGCGCATAGTTTTTGTCATAATAAACTAAAATAGGGCAGAGATTTGGTTTCCACAGTAAGTTTCTTATTAGTAAACAATGCAATGCTGTAAGAACTATAAAAGAAGTAATTTACAATACATAATAAAACATACATGCAAATAGAAGTTATAATGTCTTACCATAAAACTTTTAAGAGAAATCAGATCTTACCATTACACAAGCACCCAAGCCAATGGCTCCAAAGATTTGAGTAGACTTTAAGTGGTATTATAATTTTCAGAGCTGTGAAAGAACCTAAGTACTCCAGTCCTGACTACTCACCAGACCTGCCAGGGACCAGTCACTGGATCCACAAGCTTTGAAGTCTAAACAGAGTCCAAGCACACTTTCTCGGTGTACACCCTCAATCCAGGACCCCACTTTTAGCAGCAGGGGCCTCCCTCTTCCCCCCCCCACAGATTCCAACAACCTGTCCTCACAGCCCACTACTTCAGCCTCCTGCTATTTCCCAGTCTAAATTGTTTAATTAATTAATTTAATCTAATTCTAGTATAATTCCTCAGAAGCCAGTTATTAGATCTATGCTGACAGCTACTTACAGAGAGGCTTTACCCAGAGTTTCTGAACACATTGCTGCCTTTTTACTTAATGGATGCAGTATGCAAAACAAAGCAAAACAATACACATCTTCAGAAAAATAAAACTTCCTAAATGCAAAGCCTCTCAATCTAGTTCACCCTTCCTTGGGGGTGGGGGGTCCAAATGTTTTCCAGCAGGCAGGAAAATGGTTTGGCATTTCTCTTTATCTTCCCTGCAACTAAATCAGGTCCCCTTATCCAAAACCTCTCTCTTTCCTTCTCATGTCCAATACTTTCTCTCTAAGAAGCTAAGGATTACTTATCTATTCGTTTTTCAACTATTTCCAGTGTCACTTGGTTTATTTGTTCTGCTTTTGCTGACCTTCCACTGTCCCAAACAAAAACAACCTCACAGACATTTGGAATAAACAGGTTCCGTATTCAAGCAACCTATTTAGCATATCTATTGTGTTGCCAAGGTAAACCTGTTCAAATGTTCATGGTTCTTGATAGTGCATAATACAGTCTGTACAATTTCTAGCTTCAGCAAACTTGAAAAGAAGGCCCTAAGCAGAAGGCACTCTGCCATAACTTCCATTATACTACTAAACTAGTCACTCATTGCCTGATTCTTTGTGGTACATGAAATGTATTTTGGGGTGGAGCTACAAGGACACCATGAAAACGATAGGTTATTCTGGAGAATAAGATCTGTGATTATAGAGGATGACCTCCAGAAGTCGTCTAGTTCAACTTGCTGCTGGATGTAGGATCATCCCTACCCAAGCCATCCTATATAATCCATAATGTACACTCTTCTTAAACCTGCCACCAATCCTGACACAACATAAGTAATGGTGCCACTTACACTGAATATTCCAAAAGGAAGACACAGAACAATGGCCATGGATGTGGTCTGTGCTCTTTAGACATACTCGAGAAGGGTTCAGTAGATAAGACTGCCCTAGTCTCCTTGAATACCCTAGTCCTAGGTGACCATATGGGACAATGTGAAATCTGGGACACTGCTCCCAACCTCTCTGGTCAGCAGTGCTACTGCAAGCAGAGGCAAGGGTAGGGCAGCTCTGGTTTTATTATTCAAGCACCTAAGGGAATCAGTGTCCTGTTAATGACCCATTTTTCTTTACTTCAGAGGTGTTAACAATCTCCCCCTTTTAATGGTCATTCCATTAATCAAGCTAAGATATCCTAGGGCAATTTTGCTGTCTGCTAGGGCTTCCTATTTCACAGTTTGTGCTGCTTCACCTCCCCACTAAATTATGCCCTGCACCCAGGGAGCTCATTTTAAATGTTTGCTAGCTGGCCAGGTCCGGACTCCAAAATTCAGGACTGTCCCAGCCAAACCAGGATATGTGGTTACCCTACAGCTAGTCCCCATGCCCAGAGAGCATCTTTGTAAAGAAGTCAAGCATTTGAAGTTACACAGCAAATATCACAAGATTAAATAAACAAACCAAGCCACAGATATTTCATAAAAATTAAACAAATTTCCTAAAAACAGATATTAATCTGAAGTTCTCGCCTTCATAAGCATTCCTCATGATCCTATATCACAGGTTAGGAGAGAGGCATAAACTAGGGAATTCAAAGATTATATTTAGACAGGATTCAGCTACAGGCAGGATTCTACCAACTTCAGAATGAGTGTGATACATACTCAAGGACAGCTGTTTTGGTTTGTTTAGGGTAAGAGAAAATTTGGGGAGGGGATGTTTAAGTAAATTTCTGTGACTAATTCACAAATCCTCTTACCCTGAAACATATATTGGTCTTAGAGACAGAGAGAGAATACAGAGCCACACATGTAGGAAGCTGAATATCAACTTCGGGTTCAAAAAATGAAACCCAATCTGCATTTTAAATGTCTTCCAGAGTAATGTTACTGCCAACAGGGCACAGTGTTGTAAAATTACATATAGGTTACATTTTTTTTTTCCATAAACACCCATCACCACCACAAACACACTAATACTACAAAAATGTACTTTACCATAGATCCATGATTAAAATAATTCCCATACACTGTTATAGGTAGTCTACCAATTACTCAACAATGCTGATGTATTTTCATTGATCTAACACAATACTATACTGGCCCTTAGTTAATCTTGAAATCTTGTCAGTAGGCAAAGCATGAAAGTCAATTCAATAAAAGTGAACAGTTCGTATAGGAGGGGTCAGCAACGTTTTTGGGCCCACTGCCAAAACCCCCCACAACCTGGACTCTGAAGAGGCTGGCATGCCAGGAACAGATGGCAAGGCAGCCACAAGGGGCCTGATCCTTGTCTTGGCAGTGCAGCCCTGGCCCCTTCCCTGCCATGCTTCCCAAGGTGCACGAACAGCTGCTGCCAGCAATGAGTCAGGCTGTGGCTCCAGACACCAGTGCAGCCACTTGCAGCCTTGCAGCTGCACCAGACCCCCTGTTCTACAAATATGTGTTCACCTCTTTGAAACCAAAACCCCCAGAGTTGGCCATAATTTAGATTTATCCAATGACAATTTCACCAGTTACTTGCAGTCAATGTATTTATGAAAGATAAAGGCATGAAAAAGGATGCGGTTCAACAAGGACAAGTGCAGGGTGCTGCACCTGGACAGAGGGAACCAGCATTACGATTATAGGTTAGGGGCTGACCCTCTCAGCAGCACAGAGGCAGAGAGGGATCTTGGAGTCATGATTGACTCCAGGATGAATACGAGTCGCCAATGCAACGAAGCAATAGGCAGAGCCAACTGCACCCTGTCATGCATCAACAGGGGCATCACTAACAGGTCCAGAGAGGTCTTGCTCCCCCTCTATGAGGTGCTGGTCAAGCAACAGCTGGAGTACTGTGTCCAGTTCTGGGCACCGCACTTCAAGAAGGACGTGGAGAACCTGGAGAGGGTCCAGAGGAGGGCCACTTGTATTGTTGGGGGCCTCCGTGGCCAGCCCTATAAGGAGAGGCTGAGGGACCTGAATCTCTTCAGTCTCTGCAAGAGGAGACTGAGGGGGGATCTTGTGGCTGCCTACAACCTTATCAGGGGCCACCAGCAGGGACTCGGGGAAAGTCTGTTCACCAGGGCCCCCCTTGGAGTCACCAGGAACAATGGCCACAAGCTGAGGGAGGATAGGTTTAGGTTAGATATTAGGAAGAACTACTTCACTGTAAGGGTGGCCAGAGCCTGGAATAGGCTCCCCAGAGAGATGGTGCTCTCACCTTGCCTGGAAATCTTCAAGAGGAGACTGAATAGGCACCTGGCTGGGGTCTTATGACCCCTGCCACCCCCAGTGCTCCTTCCTGCCCATGACAGGGGGTCGGACTAGATGATCTGTCTAGGTCCCTTCCCACTCATTGATTCTACGATTCTATGAAAAGCTCCACTTTCACTGTAATCTAAAACTGGATGGAAGAGGTATCTATTTTAGGAGTTCCTAATGGTTAAAATTTATATTTATGTTGGTCTGCTAAGGGACAGGTATCTGTTCAAGTTTGTACTTTTATTTCACATGCCTCCTGCTAACATTAACAGAACTAATTTTGTTAAGTAAGCCAGTTAATTAGAGTGAGTTATTGTTAAAGAACTTTATATGTTCCATCTTCAAAGCAAAATAAAATAACAGATCAAGAGAAAGGAACAGAGAAAAATCCAAGACTTTGAGAAAAAAAGGAAAACAGCTGTTTTTCTTAAGCAGCTGTTTTCCTTACCTTTATGGAGAAGTGTGAGATAGATTAAAGTCTACAAAGAGTCATTGCTTCTGCACGAAAGTCATGAGGTTTAAGTCAGAATATGACATACAAACAGAATAAAATGTAGATTTGAATAAGCAATAATTTACAGAGGTAGTCTATTCCTAATTCAAATACTCCCATAATCACCAAACGCCATGTAATGCTACATTTCTTATCTCCTTCATATAATCAGATTCTAACATCGACTGTACCTGTTCGAGAACTTCTTTGAAAGTTATAGCCTCTTTGATATTTGTTACAGGGCTATCATACATGATCGCAATCTGGTTTCCTCGTCCATTCTCAACATGACGATCTACAGCATTATAACAAATATTCAGCTCCCCATCTACAAACCTGGAAAAAAAAGAAAGCATCAAATAATGGTCAATTTTTTTCAAAGTAATTAGACTAATTTCCCAGAAGGACTGATAGCACTAACTAAATGCTTTTAAAGTACGGCATTCAATTCAGAAAGCCCTTTAATAGTAGGTCAAAATAATTTGCTCAAAAATGGATAAACAAGACTATCAGTGGGGTCATAAGTGCCTTAGTTTAACTTCATGAAGACTTGGAATCAGCTAAATATAGTTGTAATATCATGTGGCCTCACCAAAAGGAAGGTACGTAACTTTATGCAATTTTGGAAAATAAGATTCGCTGGGCGTAAACAGAATTTGGACAAAATAACACCTTCAAATCCCAGGCACCTGTCAAACAGGCATGGTTCAATAATTAGTGAATACTAGACATAGAAACCAAATGAGCAGCAAGACTTTTTTTGATCCCACTGTCACTGTGAACTTATGAACAGGAATGAGAGAAAAGATGTCTTGATGTATCTAAAAAGTTTTCAAATACACACTAACCATTATAACTAAAAAAAAGTGTTTTCCTGTAACAGAATAATTAACAAAGGTTAAAACAAAAAAGGTTTGACTAGGTTATTCCATGCATTTTTGGGCAAAATGTGATACACAATTACTGTGTATTTGCATTTTAATGTACTTTATTTAGAAAGAACACATTTAGGACTTAAAATATGCTTGTTCATTTCTTAGTATCTACTGTAAGATATGCAAGCATCTGTATTTATATGAAATCAACCAAATGGTTATATAATCTTAAGTATTTGTCTGACATTCATAATGCATTTGACATTACCCTGCTGTACTCCAATGATTTTAAAAAATTGCTGCAAAGCACAGCATGAGTCATAGTCTTCTCAACAGCCAGATATTTACAGAAAACTGTCATCTTCTAATTAAAACCATTTCACAAAGTTAAATTTGTAAGGTTAATTTTATTGTAACATTATATAGAAGAGAATATTCAAACGTAGCATTATCCTTAAGTGTGAAATATAAAAAGAATTACATTACTTTGAAAATTAGCCAGTATCAAAAATGAACTCCAGCAGTGGTCTCCACTTTGTGCGTCCTGACTCATGTGTGCCTCTCTGCCCAACTCTACACATTTACCAATAACACAAAAACCTTTAAGGAATGATAAATTAAGCTGCTGGAGAAAGTCATTTAGGAACACTCAGATCCCACAAAAAAACTATGCTGAACTAGGATATAACTAACCATAAAACAGAGGGTTTAACATGGCCCAAAGGAAGGAACAAGAAGTCTGAGGGAATAAAATATAGTGAATCTGAACGGAGACAGTCCAAAGCTTCATTCAGCTGTCATGTCACAGGTAGAACTCAGATGTGGGGCTGGGGTCAGGTTTCAGGGGCCAAGGGGCAACAATACTGGAAGTCCAGAAGCCAAAGCCAAGGGCCATAATACAGGTGTCAGTTGAAGTCCATGGTGTCATGGATCAAGACAGGTCTGTGACTGAGACCAGGCCAGAAACCAAGAACCAGAGAGTTCAGAACACACAACAGGGGAAGCAGGAACAAGGCACTAGGATCTGCGGCAGTAGGCGAGGCAGGAACAACGTGCAGGGGTCAAAGGCTGAAAGGAGGCAGGGACAAGGCTGGTGCAGGGCAGAAACTATGGCAAAAGGGCTTGAAGCAGAAGTGAGCCAGGAGCAAGGCAGAAGAGTCCCAAATAACAAAGCTACAAACACTATTCTGTTACAAGGCCCCAAGGGAAGTGGGAAGGTTTTTTAGCCCTCCTGTCACAGGCTTGTGGCTTCTACTGGTTCACCCCAGCTCTGGGTCACATTTCCCCATCAGGAACCTTATAGGAAGGCCAGGGCTGGGCTGGGCCCAGCAACCAGCCACCTGCTTGGTAAAGCTGTAGCCCAGGACTGCTCCATGAGCCTAGAAGACCATCTCCCTTCCTTCCCCTCCCCCCGCCCCAGGGGTTTCTAGCAGTGCATGTCAAGCTGCGCATCCCCAACTCAAGGCATATATCTGCAAGCAGGGGAACCCCAATGGTGGCGAGGGGCACCCAAGGCCATTTTCTCATGGGACCAGGCCACCAAAGGCCCACGAGAGGCTGGCACTGTGGAACAGCAGCTCCAGGCAATGTCTGTAGATGCCAATGAAGTGGGTCAGCTGTTCTGGGACACATCCTAACACAACTGATCCCACTACAAAGACATCTGTTTATAGTCGAAGAGTGACAGAAGCCCTATCGCTCTGTGACGTATGCCTGTGTGAGACTCTCCTCCTGCAGAGCTCCTTCTCCTGTGAAGTTCTGGACAACCTGTAGCCTTAAGGTCAGGCTTAGCCCTCTAGCTCCTCTCCTTTCCCGGCACCTGCCTTCCTTCCCTAATGGGGCCCAGGGGCTTTCCATGGTTATCAGCAGGCTTACTGTTATGTAGCATGCTTCCCAGCAGGCTGCCCCCTGTACTGCCTAGCTTTGCTGCTTCTTTGTCAAGTAACAGATTCTTTTTTTACCAATTAGCAGGTCCTCTGTAGCTCTGTCCTGAAACCAGGCTAGCTTTTCTGCAAGCTCCCGCTACGCTGTTCTGTAGACATTTAGCTCTCTACTGCTTAGCCCACGGTGGGGGCAAAGTCTGGACTCCATTTCAGACTCCAAAGTCCGCAGCAGACTCCATTTCCCAACAGCCCCTGCCCACATTGCTGCAGCAAGTTTCCATGGTGACCCAAAAAGCAGCAGCACCCTGACAGTGCAGTGCCACAGTTTCCATGGAAAACAGCCCCAGCAATGCTGGCAAGGCATGCAACAGGTCAGGGAGCTGCTCCAGGGCTGGGATCTTGTGGTGTTGACAGTGTGGTCCGGAGCTGGACCAGAGCTGCGATCTGATGCTTGCATGCCCCAGGGAGGGACATGCAGGCAATAATCCATGGCTCTGCCCCATACCACTGTCACCACTGCAAGATACCAGCCCCAGAGCAGCTCCCCACCAGTGCTGGTAGGGCTGGTCTCCATGGAAACCCAGGCCCTGTGCTGTCACCGTGCCACTGCTACTGGGGTCTCCATGGAAGTGAGCCACAACGCAGGGAGGAGCTTCTGGAAAATGGAGTCCACTACGGTCTTGAACCAGTCAGTAGAGTGGTTGAGTTCAAGGGTTCTGTTCAAGGCCCTTCTTGGGTTAGCTTCCCCCTACCATGTTTTGTAAGCTGCCCCTCCTCTGCATATCTGGTCTCACTCTAGTCCTGCCACAGGAGATAGTTTTCTTAATGACAATCTGATCCAAAGAACCATGAAACATGAGGATCACATAAAACTAACCAAGGTACCTCCGGGATCAAAAGGCAACTTCCATTTGCTGGGTAGTGGGCCCAGATGCCAGTGGGGAGCCACCCAACATTTCTACTAGGACAGGAGGGGTCTTGGCCTGAATGGGCACCCCAAGAGTCCAAACCATGATAAAGACCATGAAGTTGCCCCCTGCCCCAGAGTCCAGCACAGTCAATTGCAGGAGTAAGGGGTCTTGGGCCCCAGGTATGTACAAGAAGACTGGGATTTGTAACTGGGGAGCTAGCTTCAGGGCAACCCCAGAGACTAGTAATGGCATAATGCTGCTTTTCACTGGGAGGATTCCTACATTACTTTGGGACTTGGAGGCCCCCAGCAGGACCTGGATATTTTGATTCTGGTATGGGTTTCATCAGTTTTGTTTAGACAGATGGATAACCCATGGTTGTGGGGGCTGCAATAAAAGCAAAGATGCTTGTTCAGTGAGACTTGTGTAGGGATGACCTACAACAGTTTTCCCAGGTACTGATGTTAATATCATATTTCTTCAGATTGGCCTTCAATATGTCTTTGAATCTCTTCTTTTGCCTACATCTAGAGCACTGACCATAACCAAATTGGGGGTATAGGACCTGTCTGGAGGGCCAGTTGTCAGACATCCTTATGACCTATCCTGTCCAATGGAGCTGGTGCCACATAACGTAGCATCGCTGCTGGTGGTGTTTGCTTTAGCCAGAACGCTGGAGTTCATTCTTCTCTCCTTCCAGTTGATATGGAGGATGTTCCAAAGACATCATTAATGATAATGTTGCAAAGGTTTCAAGTGTTTCTTTTGTCGTTCAATTTTCACACACATACAACAGGGTAGGAATAACAACAGCTTAGTAGGTGACAAATTTGGTTTGGTCTTGATGTCATGATCACTGAAAACATTAATTCAGAAACAGCCAAAGGCAGTGCTGGCAGATTTTTAGTGTTAAATATCATCGCCTGTGCTTACTTTTGGGGAAAGGTGGATACCCAAGGAAGGCAAACACTCAACATTCTCCAAGGACTGTCCTCCAATTGTAATATGTGGAGGAAGCAGCTGGTTGGTGTGGGATGCACATCACAGAAGCAGCCACAAGTGACTTAGAGCTCTTCAAATGATTGGGCACACGTGACATAGCCATCAGTATATTTAAGATCAAGAATAGGGGTGATGGTGGTTATCTTGAATTTGGAATGTAACCATTTGATATTACAGAGATTCACGTCCATTCAATACCAGATGCTGACCCCTATGAGCAATATGATATGAAATAGCTGCAATATAGATGGAAAAGAACGTTGGTCCAATCACACATCTTTGCTTGACTCCAGGTCTAATAATGAAGGGATCTGTTTCTATGCCACTGTTTAGGATGGTCATGTTGTCATAAAGAAGTCTGATGATAATGATGATGATAAATTTTGGTGGGCATCCAGGTCTCATCAAGATCTTCTATGAGGCTTTAGTCAGGTCAACAAAGGCCATGTAATGATAGTGGTGTTGCTCCTGGCACTTCTACTGCTGTCTATTGCCAAAAATTATATCTATTGTACTTCTGATCCATCCAAAGCCACACTGGGACTTGGATAGAATCTCCTCAGTGAAGAGAGTGAATCTGTTAAGAAGAATGTGGGCGAGGAACTTCCCAGCTATGGACAGAAGTGCAATGCCATGATAACTGCTACAATCTGATCTACCTCCTT